TATCTATCTATCTATCTATCTATCTATCATCTATCTATCTACATTGACAGTATATATATTAGCTTAATTAGATATATTGGGAAGTGTTTTCTCTTTTCTTTTCTGGAAAAGATTGTGTAGAAATGGTAGTAATTTATCTTTAAACATTGAGTAGAACTCCCCCATGAAACTGCTGGGCCCAAAGATTTATTTTTTGAGAATTTTAAAAGTACAAATTCAATTTCCTCAATAGTCAAGGGCTGTTCAAAGATCTATTTCATATCGAATGCATTGTGGTAGTGTATGATTTCTGAAGAACTGGCCCATTTCATCTAAGTTGTTGAATTTATGTGTGTAGACTTATCTGTGGTATTCCATTATTCTTTCGATGCCTGAAGGGTTTGTCGGGGAATCCTCTGTGTCATTCCTGATATTAGTAATTTGTGTCTTCTTTTTATTGTTGTCAGTTTTGCTGCAAGTCTTCACATTTTGTTGGTCTTTACCAAGAACCACCTCTTCACTTCACTGTTTTCTCTATTGTTATTCCATTTTCATTGATTTCTGCTCTCATCTTCATGACTTCCTTCCTCTGCTCTGGGTCTGTGTTGCTCTTCTTCTAGGTTCTTGAGGAGCTTAGATTACTGACTTGAGCGTTTACCTCTTTTCTCACATATGCAATTAGTGCTACGAATTTCCCTCTTAGCCCTGCTTTGGCTGTGTCCCACAGTGTCAACATTGGCATCTGTTGATTGTCTTTTTTCATTAGGTTTGAATCTCCCTGGTTCTTGGTGTGGCAAGTGACTTTCGGTTGAAACCTGGACATTTTCATGTTGTAAGCCTCTAGATCTTATTTAACTTGTTTTACCTGACTTTCTCTGACAGCACTGTCTGGAAGAGGAGACACCATCTTGTTATTGCCAGCTGGGGGCACAGTCCAGGTCCTGTATTTGGCCTCAACTGACACCTGAGGAGGGGGCTCCTCTTTGCTGCTGGAGGGGGTGGGAATCCTGGCTCCCCGTTGGGCCTCCGGTGTCACACCTCTGGCCGGGAGGGGTGGGAGGGCATCCTTTCTGCTCCTCACCTGCCTTCACTCCCAGCACGAGGTAGGGGTGGCCTTGTTGCCGCTGGGTGACGGTGGGTGTTCTAGCTCTCCATGAGGCCTCCTTTGGCAACACTTGACCTCGAGGGGCATTTGCTACTGCGGAGGATTAGGTGCAGTGGTGGGGGTCCAGGCTCCCCACCCACATGCTCTTCACCGGCTTAATGGGCAGGGGTCCTTGGAATAGACTGGTGGGGGTGCTCAGCCTCCTCTGGCACCGCCTGGGTAGGCCCGCCCCTCTCCTCATCCCTTCCTCTGTCTCGAGTGCGGTGCCTTTGCCTCCGTGCATGAGGCAGAGAGAAGGAGAAGGGCCCTTACCGCTGTGCCCTCCTCAGCCCGAGGCCCCGGCCAGGCTGCCTTCTGCTCTCTGCCTTGCACACTTCTCACGTTTGTTTTAGGGATGCGGGGTTTCTAGCTGTACTTAGTCGGGGAGTAGGGAAGTGGAGTTCTACCTTGGTTTTGAATATAATTTACTTAATTTTAAGTTTGTATAATTTAATTTTTATTTCATTTTGTTATTATGTTTTAAAGTGGGCTCCATGCCCAACGTGGGGCTTGAACACACCACCCCAAGATCAAGAGTCACATGCTCCACCGACTGAGCCAGCCGGGCGCCCCGTAAGTGTGTACAATTTAATTTTTAATAACACTCTGTTTAACAAGTGCCTTGTAAATATTCCTGAAAGTTCAGCCCTGGGCTCTCTTGAGCCAACACGTACCGCCCAGAGCTGTCCATGCAGAAGTCCCGCCCCTGCCACCCTGGGGAGGCACCTGCTGGGTGGACGCTGCCCAGGCCAGGAGAGTCAGGGCTGGGGAGGCGACTCCTGCACTGGGGGAGGGCACCCTGACTCCCCCTGAGTCCCGGTGAGGGGCCCATGTCTCACCCCCAACCCCAGCTCTCTGGGCAGAAGGGGGCGCCACCGAGGGTGTGGGGCAGTAGGCCCTGGGAAGGGACGGGAAGGCCCCAGTTACCTTCTCTGTCACCAGCTCTTGGTCTGCAACTTCAGGAGCCAGAAAAAACGTGTCGTAAGTGCCTGAGAGAGAAAGGCCCAAGCTCTTAGTTTCTCTTTCAGCCTTGGGGGTCTGTGGTGGAGCACAGCTCCTGAGGGTGTCCCCGCGTACGCACCATTGGCAGGGGGTGGGCCGAAGAGAATGGCCCCGTCCTCGGCCACCAGCACGGAGTCCAGGCACAGGTATGCTGCAAGAGAAGGTGGGGTCAGGGTGGCCAGACTCACCGTGGGGACCCGGCTCTCCCGGAAAACCGCAGTGGTGTGCTCAGGGTGGGGCAGCTCCCCCCCGAGCCCGCAGCACCCCGCCCCCGCCCCCAGTCTCCAGGGAACACAGCACAGGGGCCAGGGGCTGGACAGGGCCCGGGGAGGGCTCTTCGAGGCTGCCCCGGGCACATCAAGCTGGGAACTGTAACCAGCTCAAGGAAGAGGAGGGCCACGGGGGGGGGGGGGACATGGCCCAGCACCCAGCGCTGCCCCCCTGAGGGGCCCCCGTCGAGGCTGCACCCCCAAGGCCTGGGGGTCACAGGACCGGACAGCAGACTTTCTCCTCATCACCCTCCCCAGGACCTGGTAATCTCAAGGGCTGTCGGCCACCACGCTGTCCAGGAGGGCTGTGCTTCAGGGGGCTGCGGATCGGGGTAGTGTCTGAAATCCCCCCCTCTCCCTGGCCAACGTTGCTTCCTTGGGGACAGTGTGGCCCCGTTGAGGGGATGTGGGCCATCCACACAGCTCACACTCTGCCCTGGGCCCCTCTGGTCCTGAGACCAGAGCAGACATGTCCAGGGCACCGCTGGCTCACTGTGGGGACACAGCCGCCTGGCCCCAGGCCGGCCCCATGGCCCACGTGCTCCTCTTGGTCTTGGCCCTGGAACACATCGGGGGGCGGGCTGAACACGGAACCGCGGGGCAGAACTTCACCTGGGTGCTCGCTGTGTGCACGCAGAGCACTGAGACACGCGTGGGACAGAGCCCAGAGCTCATACTCCTTGAAGGGCCGGCCCAGCTGGCACAGGAGGTCCTGCAGGGAGATGCCCTGGTGGGGAGAAGTCACATCTCAGTGAGGGTGGGTATGTGGGGTCAGCTCAGCCCACCGCTGGGGGAGGGAACTGGGCGGGAACCACCTCGAATCAGGGTGGGATGTGCCTCCCACACAGTGCGCTCCTGACCAAGTGGGCCAAGTCCCCGCATGGACACGAGGGGGGAGGGCGTGAAGGATCAGAACCCCGTGCCCCTGGTGGCGATGTCAGACAGTGCAGCCATGTGGACAACGGTGTGGCGGGTCCTCAAGATTAAACACAGAATCACCACATGATCGGGCGATCCCACTTCCGGGCGCCCCCCCCCCCCCGAACTGAAAGTGGGGCCTCAGACAGACACCCCCGTGTCCACGGCAGCAGATTCACAGGAGCCCACAGGCGGAAGGGACCCGAGTGTCCACCGTGGATGAGCGGGTAAACGCAGTGGTCCGTCCACACGGCACGACGTCCCCCAGCCTCGCGGGAGGGAGACACCTGCCATGGGGCAGATGAGCCCTGAGGGTGCGATGCCCAGTGACAGAAGCTGGACACAAAAAGACAGGCCCAGTGTGACTCCACCCTCGCGAGGTCCCCAGAGCCATCACGTTCACAGACACAGAGGGCGGATGGTGGGCGCCAGGGGCGGGGAGGGGATGGGGACCTGATCGGGGACAGACCTTCGATTTGGGGGAATGGGAGAGTCCTGGGGATGGAGGGTGGGAGTGGCTGCCTGCGGGGTGACTGTGCTGGGTGCTCCAGACCGCATGCTTAACGGGTGAGAGGGCAAAGTTTATGTGACACGAGCTTTGCTTCACCCCCGTCCCTGCTACACACGGAAAAGTCCTGGAGTCAGAACGCACTCCGCTGGAAGGTAGTTCGCCACTTCGAGGCCGCGGGAAGAGCTAGGACCACAGCCTCCACACCTGGGGCACAGAAGTGCACGCTCTAGGGAAGGTTCCAGAGGCAGTGTCTCCACCCTTGACCCCGCTCCACGCGGGGTGCAGCCGCCTTGCTCCTTCTAGCCCCGTTTCTGCAGTGCCTGGCTGGCGGCCCATGTTCCGGGAGCGGTGCACCCCAAGCCTCCTGCTACATGTGGGGATTGAAGCAGCCAGCTCTGAACCCTGTTCACGCTCCGCAGTGGAGATCTGGGTGCCCTGATGCCTGGGGTGGGGGGAGGTCTGCGTGGCCCTGGTCCCACAGGGCCTCTGGGGCAGGGAAGCCTAGTGGTCAAGACAGTAGCTGGGCTCCCAGTCAGCCCTGCTCCTCAGTGGCTGCCCGCCCTCCAAGAGGGCGCATGGCCACTCTGTGCCTCAGTTTACCCATCTGGAAGGCGGGCCGTTGTGAGGTTGTTGGGCATGGGAAGGTGAGCCAAGTCCAGGGCTAAGGTGTGTGACTGGGAGTTCTCTCTGCACAAGCTGGTGTGGAGGTCGGGTGGACGCAGGAGGCCAGTGGAGGCCGTGTGAGCTGAGTGGGGACACATGCATGTGCACGTTAAGCACGTGTCAGTGCACTGGGGTCGTCAGGACAGACATTTGCCTTACGGTAACTATGTTTTTTATGTAAATTACCCTCAGGTCCTTACCAGGATATGAATACAAATATAAATCACAGACTGTTGACCTTTTGTCCTCTGGGTCAACAGAGCGTGGTGGGAAACATGGCCTTTGGTGCCCTGGTGAGGGCCCAGCGCTGCCCTGCAGCACACTGGCCCCCCAGGTGGCTTTGCCTGAGGACCTCATGGGGACAGAGCGTTGGGGAGGGACCTGCTGAGCCCAGGTGTCACCACACAGAAGGGCTTAGGGCCGCAGGCCCCTCAGAACACCTGTGGTTCAACTAAACACAGTGCAAACTCCCAGAACGGAGATGCCTGTCCGTCTCAGCAGATGGGGTGCAGCCACCAGGCCTGGGAGACCCCAGCTGCCCTGGGAGACCCCGTCCTGACAGCTGCACAGAGCCCCAGCATCGATGAAGATCTGAGGGCGCAGGGTGCCACGCTTGACCCGTGAGCAACCCCAACTCGTGGTGTTAGTGCCTGACGTTGAAAACAAGCCTCAGAGGGGCGCCTGGGTGGCCTGGTCGGTTAAGCGTCCGACTTCGGCTCAGGTCATGATCTCACGGTCCGTGAGTTCGAGCCCCATGTCGGGCTCTGTGCTGACAGCTCAGAGCCTGGAGCCTGTTTCAGATTCTGTGTCTCCCTCTCTCTCTGCCCCTCCCCTGTTCATACTCTGTCTCTCTCTCTGTCTCAAAAATAAATAAACGTTAAAAAAAAAAATTAAAAAAAAAAAAAAGAAAACAAGCCTCAGAGGGAGTGCCAGGGTTTGAGGGCGGGGCCCCAGGGCTGGGGGGGTGGAGCGCCAGGGCTGGGGGCGGGGTCCCAGAGGTGGATGCCCCTTCTGGGCCTCATGCTGCCCCGCCTCCCCCTGCGGAGGCAGCTCCCTGCGCATTGTTTGCGTAAGAAGATGTGGTCTGATAGGCACGATGGAATACTCCTCGGCCACCAACAAGAGTGAAATCTTGCCGTTTGCAATGACGGTTGAGGTAGAGGGTATGACACCAAGCGAGAGAAGTCAGTCAAAGACAGATACCCTATGGTTTCACGCGTGTGAAACTTGGGAAACAAACAGATGAACATAGGGGCAGTGGGGCGAGAAGACAAGAGAATGAAACAAACCACAAGAGACTCTTAAATACGGAGAACAAACCGAAGGTTGATGGAGGGAGGTGGGTGGGGGATGGGCTGGATGGTGACGGGCATTAAGGAGGGCGCTGTCTGGAGTGAGCACTGGGTGAATCACTGGGTTCTATTCCTGAAACCCACGTTGCACTGCATGCTAACCAACTAAAATTTAAATTAAAGAAGATGAAAGAGCATTACCCCCCAGGCAGGGGTGTGCCTCTTTGGTGAATGTGCGGGGTGCTGCGTGCTGGGTGAAGCCAGGTGAGGCCTGGGCGTGTGGGGTGCTCTGTGGGACGCCCCCCCCCCGCACCCCCAGGGGGGCCACAGGGGAGGCTCTGGCCTGGCGTCACACCTGGAGCCACACCTGGGGCAGGGGGAGGCCGTAGTCACAGCTTCCGTCAGAACCCAGGTAGCTTGCATACAGCTTGCACATTCCTGAGCAGGGGTGAAGGCTCACTCCCTTCCTTGTGGTAAAGGACCAGCAGTGGGTGTGTGTGCAGTGTGCTGCCCCGCCCCCCTCCTGCCCCGGGGCTCCGCGGGACGGGAACCGCATCACCCACCTGCTCTGTGGCTGTGCTAGCCGGCTCCCCAGCTCCGTCCAGAATCCCCTCCTCAGCCCTGCAAGTCCCGGGCTCTCGGCCTGCATCTCCAGGGGCCTTGGGGCGGGGCGCGGGGCTTTCCTCCGTGGGGCCCCAGCCCGGCGCCCCAGACGCCCCGTCCCCACCTCTGCCGGCGCCTCCGGGTCCTCCCCGCCGGATCTCGGGCTCCTGCTCTGGCCGCAGTCTGGCCGAGGGCTGTGTCTTGTAGCTGGAAAGGCCATTCATCCCCTCCAGAAAGGCCTTCCTGGGGTCTGGAGGGAAGAGCTCCGATGGGGGCAGCTGGGGGCCCAGCGTCAGGCAGAGGGCGCTGGCCTCCGGGCCGTCGGGCAGGAGCCGGGGGAACGTCTGCACTTTCCTCAGGCAGCTCCTCTCCGGGTCACCCAGGGGGCGCTGGGCGTCCAAGACGAGGCTGGCCAGCCGCTCTCCGTTTCTCACGGGGGCCGACAGTAGGGGCTTGGAAGGCAGGGCCGCGGGCTGCTCCGGGGCGCCGTGGGCTTCGTGGGCGGGGCGCTGGGCGGGGCCCTCTGGGTCCGCGGTGCGGCCCCCGGGCTGCTTTCTGGGCCCTGTGCTTCCTGTCGCCGGCCTCCCGCTGCAGGAGCTCTCGCTGACATCTGGGCAAAAGCAAGATTGCTGTGGGGGACGCGGCCAGTGACCCTGCGGGTCACCAGAGGGGATGGGGATTCCTCTCCTGCACTCCTGGGTCCCCCACTGCTCCCCCCCCACGTGTCACCATCTGTGTGTGCGTGTGTATATGCCTCCCCGTCTTCATCCACCTCCTTGATCACAAAACCCAGCTGATTCTAAATACTGAGGCTCCAGAGGGTCCGGGCCACGTCCCCAGCCTCCTTGAGCCCCCTCAGGGTTTTCCCAAGGTCATCCAAGCATCTTGTCCAAAGAGCCTTGGCTTTCTGGCACAATTACATAGTGATGTTCCCCGAAGGAAGACACTGAATCTGGCTGCAACCCTGCCCTGTCCTGGTGCACAATGTCCCCCACACGTGTCTGTGTCTGTGTGAACCACACTAGAGACACACGGCCCCTTTTGTGGCCTGCAGCCCGCGTGGTGGTGACCGCTCTCTGCTTCGTTGTTGGAGCCATGCCTCAGGCCCGTGGTCCCCGGTGCGGCGGGTCCCTCCGGCCACACGTGCCTCCCCGGAGGGCCCTCCAGGCTCCTCGCTGCAGGCACAGGGCAGAGCGATGCGGACATTTGTTCGGAAGGCCACCTGAGACCGTGCCAGAGTCTCACGTGAGCCGAGAAAGTCCCAGGTGCTTCAGCAACAGCTTCCAGAGCAGAGAAGCAACGGGCCTCAGAGACACTGCGTGGTGTTGGCAAACGGAAACGAAGAGTGAAATGTCCCCGTGTCCAGGGACTGACCTGCTCACAGACTAGGACAGAGACAAGAGGCCTAATACTGGTCACTTCTCACCAGGACCTGGGTTTTCACCCCCAGCCGCACGGGGGTCTGCAAAGCGTGCACAAAGTGACTGAGAGGGTGAGTGTGTACGTGTCGATCTGTGTGCACGTTTGCACAACGGGTTTGTATGTATGGGAGAGTGCTGTCTTTGTGCACAAGTGTGCATGCTTGTGTACGAGGATGAAGAGGTGTATGACTTTGCACTTTCATGCGTGTTAATGTGAGTGTGAACACGTATGCTTGTGGGGCACACGTGGTCTGTTTGCATGTGTACACGTGGGTGTTTCATGGTGTGAGAGTACAGAGGTGTGAACACATGTGTGATCTGTGCTGAGACCTGTGCACGTTCACAGGCACGTATGTGAGTGGGTACGTGCAGGCGTGCGCACGTGTGCGTGACCATCTGTGCGCATGTGCGCGTATGTGTGTGCGTGTGCTTACCTTGAAATGCTCCGAAAGACTCAATGGAGAGCACCCTCCTCCCGACGGCCGAGAGGCTCCGGCACAGGCGGCAGGAGGACGTGAAAAGCATCTTCTTTTCACACAGCGCTATGATGCTCTGCAGACAAGCGTGTGAGCGCCTCAGCCAGGACCGCTCACCACGAGGAAGCCCTGTGGCCGACAGCCCGCCCGCCCGCCACATCTACTTTCTGGCATAAAAACACCCTGTGTCCCGGGATTACGGGAAACCAGGAGATTCTGTTTAGCCCACGAGAATTATAAGCCACGCCTCTTCATAATAACAATGCATAATAAGAAATCAAGTTCTCGTTTAAGCAAAACGCAATGCCACCGAACCCCAGGGGGAGAGCCCGTATGACAGAGGGGCGAGGTATGGGGACAGGAGGGTCCCGTGGGTGTGTGCTGGGGCATCGGGCCGTGGGGAGGGTCTCAGGTCTCGGCCTGGGGGTGAAGTGCGGGGATGGCCGACGAGTCTTTACCTGGAGGTCTGGCCGGTCCCTGGGGTTCTCTGCTTGCATCTGGCTCAGTAAGGCCTCCAGGTCCTGGCTCAGCCTGGGCTCGGGCTCGGGCTCGGGCTCGGCCACATACTCGAGGGCCGCCTTCAGCGTGGCCCCCAGAGAGTAGATGTGAGCCTGCGGCACCAAAGAGCCTGTCGGTGCCGTGGAGCGTGGCTTGTCCCCACACGGCCTCTGCTCTTCTGGCCAGGAACGGGTGTTTTCGGGGACCACGGCTGCTCTGTAGGGCCGGCACAAGCACGGCCAAGGTAGCGCCTCCCCCCACCACGGGGCCCCAGGCGCGTGGGTGTGGGGTCTGTGCTGGCCTGGTTGCGCCCACCGGTGCCCCTCCCGGGCTCCCTGCCCACCCCAGCACCACCCAGGGTGCACAGACGCTAGGGTCCCACCTGTGAAGGCTGCCGTGTCTCTGAAGGGCGGAGTCTTCTATTTTTAAACCTGCATTTCTCTAACTGTGAATGAGACTGAGCATCGCTGGGCACGGTTTTAACTTTTCCTCTTTCTGCCCACTCGTGGACTCCCTACCTCCACCGCGTCGTGGCCTGTTTGGGGCGCACCCTTGGCGCACTGGGGATCAGACTCCTGGTCTGTGTGCCACACATATGTTCTCTCCACTTGTCACTTAGCTTTCGACGCGGTTCGTGCAGTTTTTGACATTCAAAACTTCCTTTTGTTTTAAGTTTTTACTTTTATTTAAGTAGTCTCCATACCTAAGGTGGGGCTCGAACTCACGACCCCGAGACCGAGAGTCGCACGGTCCTCCAACTGAGCCAGCCACGCGCCCCTTGACATTCATAATGTCTACGGTTTAATTTGTGAAATCAGACACTTTTTCTTCAGCTGCTTCTTAGGAGGAAGCTCCCTAACCCGAGATGATAAAGACAGCTGGCTTTTGTTTCCTCCAATATTTTTATAATTTTTACACACCCAGCTCTGATCCATTTGAAGTGTGCTGGCGTGCTGCAGTGTCTGGGCTTCTTTCCCTCCTGGTAGAGAGCACCCCCTGGCACCATTTAAAGAAGATCCCACCCTCTGCTGCTGAGCCACTGCCCGTCCCGCTGGCTCCCCTGGGACCCTGAGAACCAGCTGGCCTCTCCTCCTGTCCTCCTGTCCAGACGGTGCTATTTTAATTATAGTAGCTTCAGAGTGTATTTTCACGTTCTGAGGACAAGTTGTCATTCTTTTTTTTCTTAAAAACTTTGATTATTTTCACATTTGTCAGGTTTTAGAAAACAAATATAAGTTCCCCTATTCCCATTGAGAAAACAAACTAAAAACAGTTGGGATTTTATTGTAATTGCACTGACATCGCAGAATTCTTACAAGATAAAATGCTTAGGATGTCACCAAGATGGCCACCAACATGTCCCCAGGGCCTGTTCCTCAACAGCAATTCAACCTCCGTCCATGGCCAAGAGCCTCTCTGTGGGGGTTGTGGGAGCCAGTGTCTCGCACCAAGGGAACCTGGAGGGAGTGTCGCCCACCTGTGTGTCAGGTAATAGGCAAGACAGACCTCGGTCCTGGCTGTGGACCCTAGTGCTGGACTAACCGGGAAAAAAAGACAAGACTCGAATTAACAGAATTGGAAGGGGAAGAGGAGACATTACAAGTAACACCACAGAAATCCACAGGATCTTAAGAGACTAGTACGAACAACTGCACGGCAACAAATCGGATAACCTAGAAAAAAGTGGATAAATTCCTAGAAACATAAAACATACCAAGACTGAACCATGAAGAAATCGAAAATCTGGACAGACCGTTACTAGAAAAGAGATTGAATCTGTAATCAAAGACCTCTCAACAAAGAAAAGCCCAGGACCAGATGGTTTCCCTAATGAACTGTACCAAATATTTAAAGAAGAATTAATACCAATCTTTCTTAAATTCTTCCAGAAAATTAAAGACAAGGGAACACTTGCAAACTCATTTTGTGAGGCCAACACTACTCTGATACCAATGCCAGATAAGGAACCAAAAGAAAACTATAGGTCAATATCCCTGATGAACATAGATGTATAAATTCTCAGCAAAATGTCAGCAAACTGAATTCAACAACAATCATAAGGATCACGCACCATGGTCAAGTGGGATTTGTCCCAGGGTTGCAAGGGTGGTTCAACACCTGCACATCAGCCAACTTGATGACGACATTAGTAGAATGAAGGATGACAATTGTACGACCACCTCAGTAGGTGCAGCGAAAGCATTTGACAAAATTCATCATCTTTCATGATAAAAACTCTCAAGAGACTGAGTGGGGAAGAAACATATCTCAACATAACAAAGGCCGCATGTGACAAGCCTCCAGCTAACATCACACTCAACGGTGACAGGTTGAGTCCTTCTCCTCTAAGATCAGAGCAAGACAAGGGTGCCCACTGTCCCCTCTCCTATGCAACACAGCCCTGGAAGTCCCAGACAGAGCAATCAGGCAAGAAAAAGAAATAAAATACATCCAAATCAGAAGAGAAGAGGTAAAACTGTCTCTGTTTGCACACAATATAATCCTACATACCGAAGAGCCTAACGAGTCCACCAGAACCCTGTTAGAAGGTTCGACAATTCCGTAAAGTTGCAGGACACAAAATCCATATGCAGAAGCCAGTTATATTTTGTCCACTAACAATGAAATATAGGAAAATAAATACAGAAAACAATCCCATTCACAATAGCATCAAAAACATAATTAAGAATAAATCTAACCAAAGAAGTGAGAACTTTGTACATTTAAAAGTTTAAGACTTTGGGGCACCTGGGTGGCTCAGTCGGTTGAGCGTCCAACTTTGGCTCAGGTCACGATCTCACAGTTTGTGAGTTCAGGCTCCGCATCAGGCTCTGTGCTGACAGCTTGGAGGTTGGGGCCTGCTTTGGATTCTGTGTCTGTCTCCACCCCTCCTCCACTCACGCTCTTTCCCTCTCTCTCCCTCTCTCTCAAAAATAAATAAACATTAAAAAAATTTTAAAGAAGTTTAAGAAAAAAAAAGTTTGGTGAAAGAAATTAAAGAAGACACAAATAAATGGGAAGAGACGCCATATTCATGGGCTGGAAGAATTAGTATTGTTAAATTTTTGTATTGGTATTGTTAGTAGTTTTAGAATTAGTATTGTTAAATATTTGTCCATACTACCCAAAGTCATCTATAGATTGAATGCAATCCCTATCAAAATTCTGATGGCATTTTTCACAGAAATAGAAAGAAATAGACCCCTAAATAGCCAAAGCAATCCTGAGAAAGAAGAATAAAGCTGGAGGCATCACATGTCCTGATTTCAAAGCTACAGCAGCCCAAACAGCATGGTACTGGAATAAAAACAGACACACAGACCAATGGAACTGAATTGAGAGTCCAGAAATAAACTCAAGTCTACACAGTCAACCAATATTTGACAAGGGAGCCAGTAATACTCAATGGGGAAAGGACAATGTCTTCAATAAATGTTGGGCAACTGGATAATCACCTGCAGAACAAAGAAGCTGGGCTATCTTGCACCACTTACAAAAATGGACAAAAATGAACTCAAAATGGATTGAATATTTAAAAAAATTTTAAAGTTTTTTTTTTTATTTGAGCTTTTGAAATTAAAATAGCAATGCAATCTCACTGGAACGATTGGAACATTATTGCACAAAGATGTATAAAAGCAAAGATAATTGATCACCTTTCCTCCAATGCTATTTCAGTGATAACAGTGTGATATGCATCCTTGTTCACACATATGAGAAAAAAAACTAAAATAGGCAGAATCTCCGGCAAAACCAGAGAATCCCAAAGTGCTTGAGACTTTTCAGCAAGATCAAAGCCGACCAGAATTACCTTCTTTGTTTTTAAAATTTTTTTTAACATTTATTCATTTTTGAGAGACAGAGAGACAGAGTGTGAGCAGGAGAGGGGCAGAGAGAGAGGGAGACACAGAATCCAAAGCAGCTCTAGGCTCTGAGCTGTCAGAGCCTGACACAGGGCTCCAACCAACAATCTGTGAGATCATGACCTGAGCTGAAGTTGGACGCTTAATGAACTGAATCACCTAGGTGCCCCCAGAATTATCTTCTTTGGATTGAATCTTAATATAGAAAGATCTAGACTGAAGGCTTGGGGCTAGAGTCAGGCAGAGGTCACAAAAGGGCACCAAGAGAAGCAGACCTTGAGGATTTAGTTCTAGACAATTAGCCCTGAGCAGAATCCTAGATGCTATACATTTGGATTTCTCAATTTTGATTTTCTTAACCAAGCTTCACAGAAGGAGGCATATGGTGACATGGCAATCAGTGACTGCCATGTATCCTTACGACAGCTCTTACCACCAAAGTGTATTTAATATGATGTTTTTGTGGGCATGGTTATATTGTACAAAAATTCCAAATTCAAGAAGAGAAGACACATGATCCTGACTGTCAGAGCACAGGAAGAGAAGTCATGGACCAAGGGGCGGATGAACAAGTAAACAATCAGCAGAATGAACCAAGGACTTAATAGCGGTGTGTGCGGAGTGGTGTGGGAGGAGGGTCTGGTTCAGGTGTATTTTTGGACAAGATGGGCCTGGAGAGGAACATGCAGCGACCTCTGCCTAGTGCCTTTGCCTAGGGAGGTGCTGGAAGGAAAACTAATTTCTCATGCAGAGATACATTTTAGTATGAATCCCATGGAGCATGATCCCACATGCCCAAGTTATCTCTTTGGGGCTTTTGACTAACAATGTGCTATCCAAATTGTGAGATCACAAATACCATTAAAGCTACAAAATATATCTGTCTACTCCATGGGAGAATTTGAGGAAATAACCCTTCTTTCTTCCCTTCCCTTCCCTTCCTATCTATCTATCTATCTATCTATCTATCTATCTATCTAATCTATCTATCTATCATCATTATCTCCTATCTATTCATCAATGATTCATCTATTTATATAATCCTATGTATGTATGTATATACAAAAAATGGATTAAAGACTTAACATAAGACCCCAAGCCATAACATTCCTAGAAGAAAACACAGGGAAGAAGCTCTGAGACATTGGTCTTGGCAATGAGTTTTTGGATGCGACACCAAAGCACAAGCAACAAAAGAAAAAACAAATAAGTGGGATGACAGCAAATAACAAGCTTCTGAAGAGTGAAGG